CAGGAAGAAATTATAAGCAGATGACTCAGGCTTCCAATATGAATGTTGCTAAGATTAATCCACAAAGAGAAGCTTAACAATTTGGCTACTGCTGTGCTGGCATCCATTTGGGAACCGGCTGGAACAAATATGGTCAAAAAGGTTTTACAGGGGTTCAGTTTAGTTAGTGAAGCCAAATTCTTATTATTATTATTATTATTATTATTATTATTATTATTATTATTATTATTATTATTATTATTATTATTATTATTATTATTATACCCAGACAAGCTGAGCTAATGGTTAGTTCAGCTAGCCCAACCATTTTCTTTTTTAAAAGCTTCATAATTTATCAAAATTAATAAGACCATTAGTTTTATAAATTTATAATAAAGCGAGGGATATTCAGGGATACCATTAATAGCAACATCTGGGATTTCTAGATCTTTTTTTCCCATTACCTAGGTACTCTTTTATTCTTTGTATACTGAGTTTTATTCTTGGTAAGCTGCTTAGAAGTCACTGAAGGTGAGTGGGTGGCCATATACACCATATAAATTCAATAAATAAAAAATAGGTATGCATAATAACAAGAACCCATCTGAAACTTCTCCCCAGGTAATTTTCATTCTAGCTCAGGAATAGCCTGGGTGACTTACATGCAAAAAAGCCCACTGTCAATCACTGCCACCTCCAGGTAAGGATGGGAAGGCTGTAGCCTTGAACTAGAGCAGTGGTTCTCAACCTGTGGGTCGGGACCCCATTTGGGGTCGATCGACCATTTCATGGGGGTCGCCAAGCAAGGCTGTCCGCCATTTTTTGTCCACCATTTTTTTGTCCACCATTTTTTCCCCCTTTTCCGGCGGGTGCCTTACCTCCCTTGGGCTGGGCCAGCTGGTGGTCGGCCTGCTCCGTCTCTGCCGCTTGCCAGCTACGCCTCGGCCGGCGCAGGGGGCGGAACCACGCATGCACGGCACTCCCGGGCTGGGAAAGTCCTCGACTTACGACCGATTGGGTAGTCCTCGACTTACGACCGGTTTAGTCCTCGACTTACGACCGGTTTAGTCCTCGACTTACAACTGGTTGGGGTCGCGGCATTAAAAAGGTTGAGAACCACTGAACTAGAGAGATTGTGACAGAATTGAGCTCAACTCAGTACAAAGCAACCCACATTTCCCAATGTGGAGCCACTCCCCAATTATTGCTCCCAGGAAAGGCACTGGCTGTAGTGAGGAGAAATCATAGGAGTTGTAATGCACGTCTTCTGAACAAAGGCAGCTGGGGGAGGGTTACACTTTGTTTTCCCCAAATACGGGCTTCATAAGAAGTGAATGAAAAGGCAAAAAGAGTTTCTGTTTTTGAAAATGTTGATTAAAATAGATACGTGTGCAGTATATAGGTAGTAATGATGCTGGATTTGGTGAGTTGGTGCAATGCTTTCCTTGTGACCCCCTTCACCCTGATTTCTGAGCTGGGGAGAAACAGAGATCCCTGGTTTTTATTAAACCACTTTCTAAATTCCCAAGACCTTTGATGCAAAGAATATGTCTGTTTTATCGGATCTTGATAACAGCAGGGCCCTTCCCTTCTGCTTTTAGCTTCTTTTTCATCTTGATTTTGTCCTCTTAACTGGAAGTGACAGTCTCCTCTGGTGGCCCTCTCTGTGCACGCCCTCCTGTACAACTATAGGAACTGGTGGAAGCTGTCAGGCCCCACTGAACCCAACCAGGGAAATTCAAGGTGTTGGGAAAGAAGCAGGCCCACCCGTCCTCTGGAATCTGAGTGACTGCTCCTCTTTTTTCCAGGGTCACAGAAAAAATGAGTACAACTTGCTGCCTTGTTATTTTGCAATGTGGCACTTAGGTACCAATGAAAAAGTGAATCCGTATGTGTACATACATGCCCCTACCTATGTGTTTTGTGTTAAGTATAAAAGAAATGAATAGATTGGCCTGCTGAGATGCTCTAATTGTAAACCTGGAGCCATTTGCAGATAGACCTTGAATTAAAATGGTTGAAGCATTTCCTAAAGAATCCTGTGATATCTAGTTTCTGTCTCTTGCTTATATAGTTCTCATTTTTTTAGGGATCACTATGGATGAAGAGACAGTCTTGTCAGCTTAAGAAAGATATGAAACTCTGTCCAGCTCAAAAATGTACTTCTTATTCTGAGAGTTGGTGTTGTGTCAGGGCCCCATCTCCCTATAGTTCTGGGACATATCTAGAATAATCTATTAAATAAGGAAAGGGAAACAGATCATTTCTGCTTTTTCTTTCACTTGAACATCAGCTTGCAAGGCTCAGATTGTTTTCCTTTCTCCCTTATTTTTTTCTTCAAACCACCCAATCATTGAGGGACTTTTGTGCCTTTATTTGCTTGCTCTAATAGCCAAAGATTTCAAATGGGAAAGAAGAAACCTCTTCAGATTTGGAAATACCTAAGACAGTGATGGGTGAAGCTTTTGACTTGATGTGCCAACAATTCAGAAAATGCCTAACTTGACTCTGCTGGTATGTCTCACATACACACACTGCCAAACAAAAGAGGAACAATTCTTTACATATTTATTTTAAAAAGTACAGTCCAATCAAAGTGTGTGATTCCCCCAGGACCTACCATGTGCCACGTATCTTCAGGCGGTGTCCCCTTTGTGTTGACAGACCCCTGAGGCCTACCCAAGGTCCCTCTGGGTTGCACAAGGACTTTGGAGAATGCTCTTCTGTGGCCTCTGTAGCCTCCAAACACCCCGTGAAAGAAAACCTGCTTTTAATTGACATTACGTCAATTAAAACCAGGATCCGTGAATACTGGCTAGCAGTCAAACACCACGATCCCAAATCCTTAATCTCTAACCACACTGACACCAAACAACACCAATTTGATTGGAGCAACACTAAAATCATCGGCCACGATACCGCCCGCCACACTCGTGAGTTCATCGAAGTCTGTCACTCCACAAGCAATTCCCTCACCAGACACATTGACCTACAACCAGCCTATGAACCCCTCAGAATCCAAATCAACTGCACGGCCAGCCAGAGTCAGCTCCAACCCATGCAAGCCCCCTCTCTCCCCTCAGCAGTTCACCTTCCAATGGCCCTAACCTGAAGTAACCTCCCCATCACAAGACCCATCAGAAGCCTCTCTCTGATGACTCATATCTGACCCATCACAAGACCCTCACTTGACACACCCACACCTGAAGCCCATATAAACAGAAGAGCACTGACACTTGCATCCCCTAAATGCCGCTGAAGTTGTTAGCTAGCCTGGTAACGAAACGTTTGGAGACCAACCCACAAGCTCGGAGAATGAACCTTCACCCTCAAACTCTGTTCTTGCATGATTTTTGGGTGCTCCAGTACTCTTTGTGCAGCCCTCTTGTACGAGTTCCAGCGGGTTTGGATGCCATGCGAGAACACACCCCATTCTCACACAGCCTCCCCAGCCTCCAAAAATCACTCGAAAAAGGGGCATGCTTTCAAGAAGAGTTGTTCGGTGCTAGTAAATCTGATGTGTCACCCAATACAGTGCGGCATGTCATCTTTGATGTGTGTGCCATAGGTTCACCATCACTGATCTAGGAGAGGGAAGAGATGCTTCATAATAGAGTCCCAGCTATTCACAGGATGATGGAAGACAATTTGATACCACGAGGGAGCCATTGCAAAATGTCAGAGAAGAATCTTTCCCTGCAGTTATTAAACCAATCTCCATCTTCAGCATGTTCTCTTCATTTGACCCAACTCTAATTATGGCCCTTCCCTTCATAACTATCTTGCGTAATGTGAAATAATTATCTGTGTAATGTGAAATAACCAGAATAACTAAAAATAAGAAAGGGATTTTTTTTTAAAAAAAATCAATGTAATTGTGAATTGCAGCATAAATACAAAATTGCAAAGTCCCTCAGTTTCCAAGGTGTTCAAAAGCTGATTTTTTTCTCCCACTTTCATTCTTTTTGAAGTTATTAATCATGCCCATAGAATTTTAAAGCATATTTTTTTAGGTTGCATAAATAAACAACTAGTGAAGATAGTTTAGAGCCAAGCAAATTCAACCAATGGAGTAGTTTTAGTGGGCATTAAGTATTAATGATTGCCCCGTTTGCTGGCTGGCTCCAGCTCTGGGAGGTTTGGACCCAAACAGCTGGAGGGGGACAGATTGGAGAAGCTTAATCAGATTATTATCGTTTGCTTACCATTCTTCCATGGAATTCCAAAAATAACCCAGGAGCTGTCTGGGTTCTTTGTTGCCAGAACTGACCAGATTGTGACCAGCTTTCTTTAGTGTCCATATCATGAATTTTGGACCCCAGCCTGGTTCTAATGCACTGCCTTACGCACTAGTAGTATGTCAGTATAGACAGACAGGGAAGTTCTTCTAGATAGTTTATGCTCACGAGCACCTGAGTGTTCACAATGCTACCTTGGTCTCCCCCTGCAAATAATTGTTATTGTTGAGGGGGGAAAATAGAAGTAATCCTAAATTCCTGAAGCATGTGAGTACAGTATATGTATATATGGGGAGGGGGAATGTATATACATTTAAGTGGAAAAGCCTGGTCAAAACAACCCAGAGTAGAAAAGGTGGGACTAAGAATCGAAGAGCAAAGGTGGATACATGTATTATATAATAACAGCAGATGGGAAGCAGGACAGTTTGAAAAAGAAAAAGAATGTACATGTCAGCCAGCAAGGGTGTGAAAATACGGCAGAACTAAATATTTACCGTTAGAGTCCTCTTCTTTTAAAAAAATATGTTCAAAAGAAGCATAAATTCAGAAGAAGCATAAATAGACATTGCAGCTGTCTGCTTCTCTTGTCCACAAGAACATCTGGGGGGAAATGTAGGCAAATTCAGAGTTTCTTTAAGCAAGAGTTATTTATTGTGGGATCCTTTCTTGAGTTCCAACTTAAAATTTCCATAATTTCGGGTGATGTTCTACATGGATTGGATTGGTTTGCAGGGAGGTTTTCTTGCCAATAGCTAAGCAATAGTTTAATGTTTCTGTTTCAGGAGGAAGATCAAGAATCAGAAAACGAGAAGCTAGTGGTAAAGGAACCTGAAGATGGTAAGTTTTGGTTTTTGTAATATCTAGAATGTTGTCAGACATGGGAGATGACAATTAACACAAACAAGCACAGTCCACAATTAGAAGGACCTTAACAAGATCACAGTCCAGGATCATTATCCACTTCCTCTAATATTGAATCTACTAGATACATTGCAGAAGACTCGCATGTTTACAAAGCCGGATCTCATGAATTCATATAACAATTCTATGCATTCCTTAATTGTTATGAATGCCCTTTCTAAGCATGTATGGGAGACACCCAAGGTAAGCCCTGATATTTAAATGTTATTAATGAAGATTGGAAGAAAAAAAGAGCCATTTTTTGTCATTTCTTAATCCACCCATTCATTTAGAGAATGCAAGATGGGAAAAAACCTAGAAAAACAACCTTCATATTTGGACCTGAATTATGTAGCATGAACTTAAGAGCGGATACATTCTCAATTTTAAGAAGAATGCAACACTAGTATAGACTTTTTCTTGAAGGAAGTGTTAAAGTGCTTCCTCCATTCCTTAATCTGGTGGAAGATTAAGTCATGCTTGCATAAATTACAAAGTCTTCATGCTGATTCCAACCCTGCCTCAATGATAAGACCAGTTAGTGATGTTCTCCTTACACCAGGGGTCTTCAAACTTGGCCCTTTTATGACTTGTGGACTTCAACCCCCAGAATTCCTCAGTCAGGCACACTGGCTGAGGAATTCTGGGAGTTGAAGTTCACAAGTCATAAAAGGGCCAAGTTTGAAGACCCCTGCCTTATACTTTTAATGTGGAACAAATGAAGGAAAGTAAAGCTTCACTTTTCCTTCAACTGATCGTTACAGGTGGTAGAAGAACATCCATCAATCGCTCTCAAATTCCTAGAATGTGGCTGAGATGGGAGAAGGCAAGTTTTGGCTGAGGACTAAAATAGTAGATTTGGCCAACTGATAATGTGTTCTGTTTCCTCCCATGCTTGGAGGGGATTGTATTAAGAGGGAGCCAGGATAGTAGCTGATATCATTTGATGGTTTGGCTCCTTTCAAACATGGGTTTAATGCTACTCTGTAGTGGAATGGAGTCACAGGAAGGAGGGGTTGTTCCCAGAGGGCAAAGAGACAGTGAAGCTTAGAATGCCTGGTAAGACAGCAAGAGGGCAAAGGCAGGCCTTCCCTAACAATTCACACAGTCAGACCCATGGGTGGGAGAGTCAATGCAGTTAGAGGCAGTTAAGAGAGCAGTTTTCTCCAAGAAGAGGCAGAGGTAACGGGATCAAGATCCTTATTTTAATGTGGAGATCCAGGTCAGAGGGTGCTCAGCCAGAGACCTATAGGGAGGAAATAGGGCCTCTGGTCAAGATGCCAAGAAATGCTTGCTTGCTCCAACAGTCTCCCTCACAAGAGCTTGCAGGAGGGGCCATCCAACAACTAAAAGGCTCAGATATAAGGTAATCAACATGCATTTTCATTACCCCCTCATCACGTTATTCTTAGCATCAGGGCTTGAGGAACTGCTGGAGGCTCTTACTGATTAAGGAGCAACCACAAACTTTATATATCTAGAAGCTTTAAGGAGATTGTAGCTGCCTATAGTAGACTTGCCAAGATTCATGGAAGTTGAGACTATAGTTGGACAATCATTATGGGAGGGTCCCATCAAGCAGTCTACAGTTCGCTTGTCGGTAACTGTTGGGGAGCACAAAGAGCTTTTACCTCTTCACATCACACAAAATCCACAATTTCAGTTGTATTGGGATCAATGTGGCTAAGGCTTGGGCTTCCGGTTTGAGACGTCGACTTCGTCGGAGGCTTCCTTTGAAGTCTCCCTCCCGGGGCTGCATTAGAGCCGTGCCGACAGCATAAATCAGCTGTCGGGCGGCTTGAAACTCACCTCCTGGGCTAAAGGAGGTGGGGGAGCCGCTCCGGATAGGTGTTGAGCTCCCCAAGTTCCTTGAGGAATTTGGGTGAGAGCCCCGCCAGAGTCCGGAGCTATCTCCGCACCCCGGGCAGACCTCGCCGTGTGCGAGACAAGAAGTCGC